ATTTATATCTCTATTTTTTAAACTTATATAAATAAGTAGAAGAACTAAAATATATTATAAGAAAGCGTTAAAAAATTTAGAAATTTTCTTTTGCAACCAACTAGATTAAATACACTGATATGGTATAAAGAATAATAAATCAGAATCAAAAAAAAAAATCTATGGACGAATAAGGATGAATTAAAATTTTAGTGGATTCTTCAAGTCAACCTCAACAACCTACTTTAGTAAATTCTAGATTTCAAAACAGTTCAGTATCACGACGATTAATCCTTTGGTTCGACATTGTTTGCCTATAACCACAAAAGTTCCTCAATGGTAATGATTGGCATATATCCGAGTGTTCTTAATTCTCATATTCAAGTCAAGAAGTTCGTTGGATTTTAAGGGAAGTAATATATAGTTAAACATCTAAAAAAAAAGTTGAAGTATAAATTGTTCGTTATTTAATGATCCGAACTTTGAATGAAAGAAATAAAATTGATTACATAAAATCATTTAATACTTAATTTATTAAAAAAAATAATAAAAATGAAATACCTATTGAAATAGCATTAATTTTACGATCTGGTGTGAATAATTTCTTTCAAATGTCCCGTTAATTCAAATTTCGATTGCACAGTCAATTTTTAGGTCTTTTCATTCATTGTTGCCACACGTATGCATTCGCATAGGTATACCATCTCGTCCCATTTCGTAACATGACCAATTCATTGAAAGCGATTAATGCCATATTGTTGTATAATGACGAACCTTAAATCGATGTCACTCACAATTCAGGACAAAGATTCAGGAATGTTCAGGTTGTCGAAAAGAACTTTGGAAATTTGATCCAGATAATCATCGCGATCATAATGATCTCTAACTTGGTCTAATCTTGTTTTTTAGAATGTACCAAAGTTTTAGGTATCCATTGAGTCAACAAATATTCCAATTGACCCATGGTAAATTCAAAGGAAGCCTAATCATGACGAGCTTCAAGAATTTCAAGAGTATCGCCACAAAGTTCAATTTTTCCATCAAATAACTCTCAAAAAAGAGTTCATTGGAAACTTATTACGATCGGAATGGCAGCTATCTTTTATTCTTCAAGTCTTTGCTCGGGAATTGAACCTTGTTATTATTATACGGGAGTCATACGTGGAAGATCGAAGAAAATAACCATCAAGCCAAGTAGGAGTAGTAGTAAGGGCATGGACTTAATTGATAGAAGATAATAAGGAAGTGTGGAACTCATAAAATTACACCAAGAAGATTATAAAATCTAAAAAGTTTTGTTGCCGACACTCTCAGCAGGATATAGTGGATTTTTTTTTATAGCATCCCAAGTTTTTGAGTTTTAAATTACTAGTACTACCGTCATCTGTTTGGAGAATAAATCAAAACTTGTATAAATGAAAAGAAATATTTTAACTTAAATATGGATGCATTAATAAAATACCTTTAATTATTTATTAAACACCGGAATTGTGCATGAATTCTTTCTTGCATTAATATATTCGACGGGTTTATTGTTGAATTTATATAATGATGAACTAAAGCACTTTGACAGGTGATGAATTCAAGGAATTAAGGATTGAAAAAAGAGGATTGATCGTTGTGATTTTTGCTGTAATTGTAGTTGTAATCATAGAATTTACTAAAGTAGGTTATTGAGGTTGACTTGAAGAAACTATTAAAAATATCTCGAGTTTGAGATTTTCATCATTTCTTCATTCGTCTAAAATTTTTCTTTTGATGATTTCATAAATCCAACCAATGTTTTACTTTATAAGAGGTTTTCTTATATTCTTGTAGAGGTTCATTTGACATTTGATCGGTTTTCATCGTTGTAAAGAAGGTAAAATTAGGTTGATGGTGGCATTGGGGAGTTAGTTAAAAGAGAAGAAATTTGATTTTTTTCATTAAAGGTATGAGAAAGAGTAAAAAAAAGATTCCTCACGGAAATTGCTGTTAATTTATATGTTTTGAGAACGTTTAATCAGATAATAACTTTGATAATTAAATCAGGGTAGATTTTTTTTGCCCATTGTAAATATTTTATTACACAAGCACAAGGACATAAAACCAATCTTTAATAAAACGTAAGGTTTACTTAAGCGCAGGATTATTAATAGACACTATGAATTTATTATAAATATATAATAAATAATAGATCGCCGAATATATGAACAAGATAATAAAATGATAAGGTTTATTGTACTACATAAAGTATTAAGATTATTTCCTATAATGAAATGAAATATCATTTTTGGCTTATTTTCATGTATAAATATGTACCGAGTATAAAACCTTGGAACATCATGACTAATTAAAGCCGGGACGCGAAAAAAAATATATATATATATATAAAAGCGTTGGTATAAAATTAAGTTTTATGTAATGAAAAGCATAATGACATTTACCAATCAAAGAAAGTAAAATTATTTTTTTTTTTTTTCGAATAAAACTCTTTTTCAAAACAATAATATGAATTAATGGATTGTATTTTTCTCTTCACGTTTCCCTTTCGTAGATAATTTCGATCATCATTTTCTCAGCAAGTAATGGTCGGTGAACTTTATTAATGGTAAATCAAAGTGCATATTTACTGATTATTACATTGAAATGATGTCAAAATAATTTTAAGTCAATTACAGTATATGATGATTTCCCGAAATTAGTTCCTATTATCTAATCAATTCACGACTAGAAAACATGTGACACAAATTCCAGCGCTTTGTGTTACAACCCCCTAATTTTTAATCTATTACCCATTTACATACACTCTGACAAGGGATCACTAGGAAAAAAATTAACAAAATTGTTCTCCGTTTTATAGTTCATCTATGTAAAATTAGTGAAAATTCGCGTATTTGAACGTTTTCGATAGGAGAGGAAGGAAAATTCCGAGACAAAAAAGAATTTTAACCAGGACATATTTTATTTCAAAAATCGTTGATTTTCCCGGCGGTTTCCATTTCTTCGATTTTTTTTTGGTTCTAACTTTCTTGATTTTCCAGTTCATAAATCATATCGTTCTTAATTAATTCTGATATAGCCAAATATCAACGAGTTAAAAATTTCATTATCTGTAACGTTGTAATTTTGGCTTTTTTTTTTTTTTTGATTCGATTTAGAATTAAATGATAAATTACAATCTAGATCTCTCTTTTTTTTTGGCAAG